CCCGGCCCCTCCGGCCTCCTGCGGCCCCGCCGCGCTCGGGCCGGGCAGCGCTGCCGGGACGGCGCGGGCACCGGCAGCGGATGAAAGACATCTCAAGTCTTTTAAAATAGAGAGGAAGAGCAGCGCGGTATGAGGACACCTGGCTGATGCTGCCGGCAATTCCCGGCCCGGCCCCAGGGCTGGTCTTATGCGAGCATACGTTTTACAAAGTGTGTTTAAAATACATGGGCATAGATACACATATGTATAGATACACTTTATATAGATGTGCTTCTACTTGAACACGTTGTTTTGTAAATGGTAGTTTTTATGTTCTCAGCAATGACCAGCCTATGTCTTACGTTGCCCAAAACCTTCCTTTAAAAACTACAGTTCCTAAGACAGCTACAGGCTCTCCTTATGAACTCGTATTTTCCAAGGATACAAATCAGACATTTCTATTACAGCATTTTCTCTGCTAACTGAAATGAATGTGTTTTTTTTCCAATACCCAGAACCACGAACTATTACTGTGCTTTGTTCATTTACCAGACCTTGCTACCTAGCAAAAGTTGGATGATTTTTCATTGTAACAGAATAATTTCCCTCCTTGACACACAATGTACCTAAGATAACAACCTTCATATGAATTAAATGTATGATTTGTTCTACTTCTTGTGCATTTATCTTTCCTTTTCTTTAAAATGCAAGTATTATTTATCCTTAAATATATTTTTAAAACCTATTTGTATAAACACGGTCGTAACAACAACAAATATTTTCCAAAATAAGAAACTTTGTACAGATGTGCTTGTATAACCAGTTTATTAATGAACACATTGCATCTAGACAACCTTTCTCATGCCTGAACAGCATGTCCAAACTACTGCTGCATTCTAATGGTTCAAAGAACATGTGGAAAATAAACAGAAGGCCATGAAGATAGATGGCAAATTTTGGTGAACTGGGGACTGCAAAATAAAATAATGTGAAAAAAAATCAAGCCTTCCAGGGATGTAGGTGGAGTAGTTTGGTTGCAATGAGACACAGCAATTATTCCTGCCTTCCCAGTAAATTTTTGCTTAAAAAATCCCTTTCCTCAAGGAAAAAGCATTATTTTTAGATGCTAAAACAGTGAAGCAAAGGGAAGATTTCACATCATGCATTCAAATAAAAACTGAAGGTCCTCAAGGGTCAGTAAACGAATTCCACAGGGCAATGCTTACTCCCTCACCCCTTGCCAGCATTTTTCTCAGTCCTTTCACTTTTGCACTACTATGGGTTGGGTGTTAGTCCTAGGAAGCTGCAGAGTGTGTCCCACTCATGAAGAACTGAAAGGAGGGGTCTTTTATCTGTCCACATCCAGCGTTAAGTCTACTGTGCATGCCTAGTCAGTACATAATTGAAAATCTATTTTGGGCTGGATTCATCAGTTTGCTGATTGACCTGTGGACAATACTATTGTCTATCAGCTTCAACTCACTGCTTAGACAAGTGATTCAATGGAGACAGCTGCCCATGCTGACATGGCCATCACATCATGACTAAGAACATAAATACTGAAGCAAGGACAGGCAATGTACAGCTCCTGCAGCAAGCACGACTCAGCTTAAAGCCCAATGGGCACAAGCCAGAGCATAGGAGGTTCAAGTTAAACATAAGGGAAAAGTTACTGTAAATGGAACAGAGCACTGGGCCAGGCTTCCCGGAGAGGTTGTGGAGTCTCCTTCTCTGGAGACATTCAAAACCTCTCTGGACATGCTACTGTGTGATCAGTAGATCACACAGTAGATCAGGCAATCCTGCTCTAGCAGGGGGGTTGGACTAGATCTTCTGAGGTCCCTTCCAACCCTGACAACTCTATGACCCTACAGAATAGTAACTGCTATAAACATGGAGGGAAGTCACGGTCTGTTCCTGTATGAAACCTATCACTTCATTACCTAGCATATTACACTGCAAGTTGCTTAACTGAAAGAACTATGTATGAGCAGAAAGTTGGGATTTATTGCCTAATTCTCCATCTTTAGTTACAAAACTACCTTGGCTGTTTTTAGCAGGCATGTGCCAAATGAGCCGAAATCAATGGAAGTGCTTCAGGGATGAATCTGGATCACTGTGTGTGGGACTTTCAAAGAAAAACTGCAGAAATCACAAGACTGCTTTTGAGACAGAGACCTCATGCAAGTTATATGAACTGCTATTAAGAAAGGGAAGGATGAGGAGGAGCACAGAAGAAAAAAAAAGAGATACATTTTAACTGCATCAGGACAACATGAGAGACACTTGGTGTGTAAGTGCTGTCAGATCAGGATGCTGTGGCTGCTCTTCAGAGACAAGGGGCTCCCAACATATCCAAGGCCTTCAGCTCATGCAAGGAGCATCTACAGCAGAGGTATTTAATATCACACCATGATACTTGTGCATTGAGAGCTGTTAATCCTGGGTTCTTCCACTTACTGTGGGAGTGCAAAACATTCACATTTGCTTCTAACCTCACAACACCAAACTTTGCAGCTTCAGGGTTGTGAAGCTACTGAAAGAGGACTCCACATCTTCAATGACAATAAGTGCCTTTGATGTGATGAAAAGGTAGAAGATTGCACTCCAGCAAGCTCTATGCCAACAACCTACAGTTCTGGAGGAGGAAGCATGCCATTGATTACAAATCCTATTATATTTGAGTAAAATAATAATGCAGGCACCCATCCAATGTAGCTGCTCAGGAGGAGCTTTCAGGCTGCCTGCCATTCATTATCACTGTTTCTAGTGTTCCAGTTTATGGCACTGTTATGCTGTATGGAGCAAATTAACAGGATGTGTAAATTATACAGTGGCGAGAAAGGCTGAACATGGTAGGGGGTGGATGGGCAGGAGATAAGGAAGAGAAGACATATATTTAAATTTCCTGAAATTTCACTCCTGCATTTGCTTTTTTAGTCCCTAACAGATCTGCTCTAACAGACAGAGACAAATAAATCAAGGGTAAGAGAGAATAACATGAATTTAGAATGATACTGGTAGAAACATCTGCAATTAAGGCAGTTTTATCTTCATGTGTTCTCAGAGTGAGCACTACCATTTACCAAAACAGGAGCACACAGACAGTTGCTCCCCTTACAGATGGAGCTGAGCAACTGTGCTGGTGGGGAGGGAGAGGAAAATTATGTGAAATGCTCAAAGCCAGTGCAGTCAAGGAGAAACAAAAGAATCATGTAAGTAAAATGGGGTGGTTTGCCAGTGACATAGTTTGCCTTCTGTGCCAGCTTGTCAGATGCAACCAGAGCACACCTTCATCCCTCCTTCCTCTACCATCACTGCAGCTCCTGTGGCTCCACACCCTTCAGAATTGGAGGTGCAGGATGCAGCAGCCTAAGAGTTATGCTGATCCTGTCCAGGAGTGGGATGTTGTGGAGGGGTTCACACGGGTGAAGAGTGCAGCATCCTTAGAGCCAGAGAGGAGCTACTTCATCCTATGATTACTCCAGCCATCAACCAGTAATTAAATACTGAATAAGATGCTAGTTGCTTCTTATTCTACCCAGTAATCTAAAACATATACCATTTTTTTTTGCAAAGCAGAGCCAAGGCATCCCATTTGGAGCTGCCACATGCTATGTACATCTAGAGAAGCTGTTTTAAGGATCCTGTGCAACTGTGTACAAGGGGATCAGCAGGTGAGCAAGGACCACTGGTGCTATTATTGCCTGCCCAGTGGCTGCTGAAAACACCCATTACAGGAATCCATAGCAATGATCTTGAAGCTGAGCAATTCAGAATACTTACAGGAAGATAAAGTAAAATCAGAAGTCCAGCTTTGCCTTTAACCAGGCTATTTGCAAAGCCCCATCCCAGTTTTTCAAGAAACTCCTCCACTACAGTCATGGAGTCTCCACAAAGACACTGCTCTGCTGCAGCATGCCAGGAGTTTGTCTGGCTGCACCAGGGATGGAGTGAGGGCTTTTCTTGGAATGAGGCATTCCAGCAAAATGGAAAAATTGGAGGTGAGGGCATACTGTTATTACATGGGGGCATCAAAGCTGTTAGAGGGCAGAGTGGGAACACTGCCCAAAGCCATGCTCTAGCAACACCTAGTCAGCAGAAAAGTGCTACTGTAGCCAGGCAGGCTGGCTCCTGTTTCACTGCTAATGAAGACAAGATGGAGATGTTTGCAATTCCTTTCTGAGCTTAGCCTAGATGGGGAAGTGAGCCTTAGAAATTTTGCATGGGTAAGTGTGCAGCACCCCAGTAGACTGTTAATGTTGTCCTAACAAGCACTGAGGTACTTCATGTGACCCTCCACTCTCACCTGACAGGACCAATTGCCAGTTGGTGGCATTGGAAGTGACCAATATGGAGGCAGAAGAGGGAGTATCCTATACAGCCATTCTGGATGGTGAGACATCAAGAGCTTCTTCAAATGTTGGTGAAGAGCAAGGGACATAATTCTTGAAGAGCATTTTTGTTAATCTGAAAAAGCTCCATGTGATGCCTTCCGAAGTCCTTTCTTGCCTACTCAATGTGCCAGCTGTCTTTCTCCCAAAACTTATCCCCTCATGAAGGTGGTCTTTGTGCTGGGCTGGGTGAGCACATGATGGGCAGAGAGGGAACCTGCTGACCACTCCGTTCCCTTGTGACAGACGCATCTGAGCTTGTGAAAAGGAAAGCGACAGCTGCAGCCAGAGCATGTCCTTTGTAGCAGCCTAGGGGCTCTCTTACACCTCCTGCCTGCTTCCCACTCCACAGTTGCTCTGTCACTCTGTTTCTGTATGTGAGCACTGCACAGCACTTTGACATTGTTGCATTGGGCAGTTGTGGGCTGGAAGTGCCCTGAGCCCCAGGGTCTTTGCTTGCTGCTATCACAAACAGTACCACTTCCCTGTGTGATGGCAGCTGATACTTGGACCATCACACATCCCAGCCTGAAGAGAAACACTTCCAATAAAATGGGTGTTTAATGACATCTGTCATTTCAGCATGGTAAGAATTCCTCTGTATCGGTTGACTCGGTAGAATGCTGGGCAAAATACCTGCAGCTTCCTCCATTTCTTTGAGAAATAAATGCTTTTGTTTAAATGCTTGATTTTGGCTGATTGTATTTAGATGTCCCAACAGTCCAAGCTCACAAACTTGCCTGGTTGATTAAGGCTTCTGTTTTTGTCTGCTCTACAATTCCAAGGGATCATAATCTGATTTCTTCCCTAC